AAAAAAAAAAAAAATTGAATAAATAAAAATCCCTCAATTGATCAAACAAATACAGATGCCTTTTTTCTTTTTTTTTTCATATTTCTTATATTTCTTATGCATTGGAGCAACGGTAGATGAGAAGAAAAGATACGTACCCAGGATTACTAAAAATAATGTACATTGGCAAAACTGCGTCATTCTGAGTGTAGATTGCTGCATAATGTATCAATATTAATACATTTCTGTTAATTCACATGCTTTTTGCCAATCTACAATAAATTGATAGGCTAGGTATCTGTTTAAACACCACGTATACACAAAATATCTGTATTCTTAAACTGACATGGTTTGGTTATAAAAGCTTAAACAGACAAAAGAAACTTCTAAAATATTAAATCATTTCCTTTCTTCTTTTTGAAGAGAAGCTGAAGATGAAAAGATTAACAAGTCAATGAATTATTGTCAATGATTAATATTTAAAAAATTGACGATCCGCTTAGAAAAGATAACATTTTTTTACATTGCATTCTCAAAAAAAAAAAATGCAATGGTTGCTTGGAGCAAAAGAGGATTGCAAATCAAAGCTTCCATCAACAACTAACTATACATATGGAACTCCTCTGCCAACCAGCATTTCATAACATGAGCAACTTGGAGGAACTGGACTTGAGTGGCAACCACATAAATAGTTTTACCAGAAATGAAGGTATAAAGGAGCATAAATACATATTGCTAGACCTAGTTTTAGATGTCATCCTACTACGCATTTGCATAGCTGAGATTTAATTACCAACAAGATGCTAAACATTAATGGCTACGTTTTTATATTTCTCAGGTTTGAAGAGTTTAAGCAACCTAAAAAATCTGCAGCTTCAGTTTTAACAGCTTTAAAAATGTCAGCATTCCACAAACATTGGGTGCTCTACCATCACTAAAGGAATTACATCTCCAACAAAATGAATTGCCGGGATTTGTTACAAAAGATATAACTGACATGCCCAACAAAGATCCTATGAACTCAATTTAAATTTCCATTCATTCAATTAAGGAATCCAAAGTATATTTGGTTATCTATATTATTTACTTTTTCACCAAAATGAGCAGCAAATGTTTTCATTTATATTTGTTCACTAGTCTTTCTAGCGTTGAACAGGTTGAACGACAACCATTTTGAGGGAAAGATTCCAAACAGCTTGTCTGCCATATCTCTTTTGTCGGTATTAGATATTAGCAGCAACATGTCAGGCAATCTTCCCAGATGGGTTGGGAATATGCATGATTTTGGGGTAGTTGTCATGTCCAAAAATCATTTTGAAGGTCCCATCCAGTAGAGTTCTGTAAACTTGATTTGCTTTCTTTTTTACACCTTTCCAACAATAATTTGTCTGGAACTATTTCATCTTGCTTCTACACATCACATATAGAGCAACTCCATCTGAACTAAAACAGGTTAAACGGCCCACTAACACTTGCATTTTACAACAGTTCTAAATTGGTAGCGCTAGACGTCGGAGAGAACAACCTAACCGGTAACATTCCAAGTTGGATCGACAACCTTTCCATGTTTAGCATTCTTCTCCTCAAATCTAATAACTTCGAGGGAAACATTCTTGTTGAATGCCAATTGAAAAAGTTAAGCATCTTGGATCTTCCTCGAAATAATCTTTCTGGTCCCATACCTCCTTGCTTTAGTGACATATCTTTTGAGGCAACCTTGGGAAGATCTTCTATACCGATCGACCACCTAATTGCTGATCCAAGAGACATATCGTTGTCCTACGTGGTGGGATCAAGGTTAGATTCAGCACGATCAGATTATCATTATCTTTTTGACCTTCGAGATTTCCTAACAAACAGTGTGCCACAAGTAGTGGAGTTCACAACAAAAAAGATATCTTATGCCTAAAAAGGCAATATCCTTGACTCCATGTCAGGGGTGGATCTATCTTGCAACTTCCTGACGGGAAATCCCACCTGATATCAGAATGCTATGTGAGAACCTTGCACTGAACCTGTCACATAACAATCTCACTGGTTCAGTCCCAACAACATTCTTGGGGCTAAAGCAAACTGAGAGTTTGGATCTTTCCTACAACAACTTGAATGGAGCAATTCCCTCTCGAACGTTTTGGAAGTCTTTATTGTATCACACAACAACTTATCAGGTAGGACTCCAGACCAGAAAGCTCAGTTTGCGACATTTGAAGAAAGCAGCTACGAGGGAAATCCTCTTCTTTGTGGACCTCCATTACATGACATTTGTACTGAAACTGATTCACCATCAACATTACCAATTTCTTCAGATGAAGGCTTCATGGACACGGATGTTTTCAATGTGACCTTCACAGTGTCCTTCCTTATAGCATTTTTAGGAGTTGTTGCAGTTTTGTACATAAATCCTTATTGGAGACGAGCATGGTTTCACACCATCAAAGTTTATGGGACCTCTTGCAATTAGTTTGTTCTTGACTGCTTTCTCAAGTTGTCCAACAAAATAGGCGTGCAGAGACTACATGCATCTTCATAGTTATATATATGTGCCTATTTAAGTATCCTCTCGGTTTGTATTCCAATTATACTTATTTGTCAAATAAGTTTTTGCTTGTCTGTTTTGTTTTTGTGTGTGTGTGTGTGTGTGTGAGAGAGAGAGAGAGAGGGGGAGGGGGGGGCAATGATGATTTTACCTCAATTTCATGTCTATTACTATTTAAGCAGCAGAATGATTTCCATCGCAACAGTACAGCCATCAAATTGACCAAGCTGAAGGTAATATTGCAAGGAGAGTTCAGTAGCAACGATAGCAGTCTACTACAGTCCCCGGTTGCATTCTCATACCTTAAAACCAAATATCTCTTAGATTCTTTCCCTCAAAGTACTTACTCATCCTGAGGTTTTATCGCTTATCTTTCAGAAAAATACTCCTTACTAGTTCAGACAGTTATTCCTCTTTCATTAAAAAAATAAAACTAATAAGCAGGCCTGTGCACGGAGGAAAATAAAATCCCCAAGAGCAGGATATCAGTGGCAGTTGTGTCAAGGATACCCTGCCCTATGTTTAGAGGAACTAAGATCCCATCAACTATTCGAGCTCTCTTACTGGAACCATTTTCGCTCATCAGTCCTTTCCTCAGATAACTATGCCTTCCATACAACCACTTCCTAATCCCAACATCAGATAAATCAATTTCTAAAAATTAAAACTGATGGTCAGTGAGGGTGATAGCGACAAATTGTTGTGGTAACTGAGTATCAGTGTAACCAAATTTTCAACAAAAGTCAATTTTTTTCACAATTGTAGCTTGATAAACCCACAGTCCACTCAAAATTGGCATATTTCTTCCAAGTTCAAAAATATATAATGTGTCTAAAGTACGTGTAAAGGCAAGTTTCTTCTTCAACAGGTCATCTTAATTTTGCAAGGCTTTTAGGATAGTTCAACAACCAACTCACTTAATAGAGCACCTACCCTTGGTTGCTTCTCATTGTTATTCCTTAAGCAACTAAACAATAATCCCAGATTGTTTGACTGCAATGCAATAACTTATTTGACAAAGGACTAATGAACATGGAACTTTTTTTTTTTTTTTGGTTTGTTTGTTTAGGGTGTGCAAGTAAGAATAAGTTAAACTGTGAGCAAGAAAAGATGTCCAACCCATTTAAAGTACGTAAGAGCAAACAAAGTCTAAGCTCAAATAAAAAGCACAAATAACCTATAAAATCTATAATTGAGTATAAACAATTAGGTGACCTAAAACTTGTATCTAATAGCAGTACAACATCTCAATATCATACATGTGAGGCTGTTCCTTTCCTTCCATACAGTCTACAACTTCTTCTGGAACAGCCCGACTCTCCTGATTACACAAGGCCCTTGCCAATAAGAAGTAAATCAACAACCAAGAATAGGATAATTTCAAAGCTATTCAAAATGAAAGAACAGATACAACTTAAATATCGAATTAGCACAAAGTGAATCAACAGATAGTTGACAATCTCCTTTGCTTCCTTACACATACAACGCCAATTCAGATGAATATTCTTCCAGTGATTCCGGTCAGCAATAGTCAATATCACCCATAAGGCTGCAGCTTGATTGAGGTAAAGAAAAAACGTAGGGAAGCACTTTGACATGCTAAAAGCATTTCAAGGAAATTCACTCTCCATCCCCAGCACAAATCCTTATAAAATGGTCTCGCAAAAATTTTCACTATTGTCAATCTGTGACCCACATAGAGGCACCATGCAAATCTTAACGAAAGCATCCAATAACTCGGGCCTACTTAATTTTGAGCTCATACAACTTCACTCTTAGAGAACCTAACATAATCTGGTTCCAGCACTTCCTTCCCAGAGGCTATACTAAAAAAGACCAAGAACACCTCTCAAGGAAACATCCCCACACCAAGCATCATGCGAGATTACGCCCTATGACCATTTTCTGCCACAAAGTTGGCATATAGAATTTCCTGATCAACCAAATTGCCAAAACTAACTATGATCAAAACATCCACAAACGGCAGTGAAGAAGATAGCGACTTCAGTTATAGGAAACATCCTATATCGCTTCATGATGACTTGCATAACCATGCTGTTCAGAATTTCTGCTATTTTATACATAAATCCACATTGGCAACAATTATGATTTTATCTCATAGAGGTGCACTAGACATGTAACTGTTAGAACTTTCTGCTTAAAGCCTAAAACTATTATTCAGTTGAAACATGTAGCCATTTTTTAATATGTTTACTGGTGAAGTATATCAGCCTCTTTTCTTCAGAGCCACTCATCAAGTATTTTTGGATCACTTTTGCATTCAACAGTTATTTATTTCACTAGGCACCTACATCCTTGCATGTGCAAAAACTCAGAAAATCCAAAGCATACATTCTGAGAACCTGATGCCTAGCCCCATTGAAATGCATTTCCTCATTAACAAAAAATATAGTTCAATCGCATTCGCGTCAGTCAAATGTTATAACGAGGAATTATGAACTTGGGAGAGAGGGAGGGATCCATCTGAATAGAAATGCATCTTGAAGTAGATCACATCAAAACACAAAACTCATTCACATTAACCCATTCCTACTATATAAGTATATATAACACAAAGCGTTAAAAGAAAAGGAAGATCCACTGCATTCATAAATTCAGAATTTACCTCCTCTGACTCACCCTACTCAGGTGTGTGGCAAGTGCATTCCTGATCCGCAGCCCATTCTCATCCACCTCTCCTTGGTAAACTGCAAGCTCTTGATCCTTCGAGTAGCATGCCGCTTCATCAGGAAATGGCTCACTACACTTGATCAGAAAATTATGAAGTAGACAACACGTTATGATAACAAATGGAAAGGACTCGATACATTCTTCCTTCCAAGGCTTGGATAGAAGTTGACATCGAGTCCGAACTCTCCCAAATGTTGTGCCAACCAATTCCATTCCACGACTATGCACTGAATTAAAAGCTCGTTCTGATGAACTTAAACTACTCCTTTCGTCGGATTTAACAAAAGAAGTGAGAAGCCATGGCAAAAGGGGGTAACAAGAGTCACCCAATATGTACTGTGGAATAAAATTGCCATCACTGAGCTCAAAAGATGACCCATTCAACAACTCCCTCGATTCCTCCACACCCGAAAACAACTTGGATTGCCGTAAAACGGTTTCAGGCTTCATTGTATTAGGCCACCCGGCGGAAACATCCAAGAACCTGCCTTCCAAGTCCACCAATGCCTGAACCATCAACGATCCATTTTCACCCAACAACTCACCATCAATCTCAAACAGATGGAATCCTAAAACACCAGAACAATTGGGAAGTGAAATCCAACCGAAACCCACTACAATTCGTTTGATATCGGTTTGAAATTCGAAAAGATGTCCCAGATTCTCATTGATTGCCTTGCAAACCATGTAAAATGCACGACAAGTGCCGGCAGAATTGAGGCCGAACCGCCTGGCGACGGACTTATAGGACACGTCGTGGGATAAGCGGAAAAGGGCAGCGGCGAGAGCGTAATTGGGAGGGATCGGAGAGAGAGAGTTGAGAGAAGGAGTAAGGAGTCTGAGGAGGAGAGTGAAGGAAGGTTTGGACATGCGAAAGGCGTCGACCCATCGGGCGTCGTAGTTGGCGGAGGCGGCGGAGAGGAAGCGGTGGAACCAGCAGGAAGGGGGAGTTGAGGAGGAAGAGAAAGAGGAGGAGAGTGGTGATGGAGGAGAGAGGAGAGAGAGGAGTTTGGAGATGGAGACGGCGGTGGAGGAGATATGGGATTCTAGGGTTAGGGTTTGGGAAGGATGGAGGCGGAGGTCCTTTTGGGAAAGGAAAGAATGGGCGGCGGAGGTGGTGGAAGCGACGAGGGTGATGGGGTGGGTAAGGTTTTCACGGTGACAGTGGCGAAGGGCATTTTCGGAATTTTCGTTTCTGCGTTTGGTGGTGGACTTAGCGCCGCTCTGCTTTCCTCCGCCCGCTGCCATGACTGATGGCCGTGCTCTGTCTCTAAGGTGTCAACAGCCAACACGAGTGTGGTAAGTTCAGTAATTTGTTATAGTTACAGGGTTAATTGCATTATTTGCATAAACAACCGCCAAAAAGTTTACTACAGTATGATACTAGTATGAGTTTGACCGGTAATTTCCAAAGTAATAAATAAATAAAACTTTTTGTTTTTTTAGTTGGTAACAATCATTCTTTCACCGAGACTTGAATTCATAATTTTCCTATTAGAAGTAGAAATTTGGTACAACTAAGTTACTGATTCGTGACATTATTTATAAAATATCATTAAGGAAAGGTTTGTGTGCGCTTTACACCCTTACAATATCGGTATAGTGTATATAATCCCTCATTATTTGTTCACCTCCCTTATATTTTAAAAATGGTGTGAATTAGTGCATTTTAGGCATCGACTGCTATTGACTGGTACTGAAGCTACAAAAAGACTAAAATAGCCCTCTATGATTTACAAAAACTAATAATATAACATAAAATGTGAAAAGACAAAGAAACCCTTTGTCAAAGGGCATATTTACACACACTGAACCGCTTGCTATGTCCTTGTTGTGATGATTTCTTCTAGTGATGCTTCAGAGTCGCCATGGAAACAGAGCTTTCCTTTGTTTTCTGGAATTATGATTTGCTAAACCCTAGCATGAAGACTCGCGAAGATCTCAACAATGAAATCGGAGACTGATCGAGGCAAAATCGTGAGATAGCACCGAGTTTTAATCGCAAAGATCTGTCCAAACCCTTTCTTTAATTGAACCTCAATTTCCATAATTTAACTCGTGCGAAACAATAGTATCACTTGGCTACCCAGCGTTTACCGTGGGCACGATAACTGGTACACCAGAGGTGCGTCCTTCCCGGTCCTCTCGTACTAGGGAAAGGTCCTCTCAATGCTCTAATGCCCACACCGAATATGGACCGAACTGTCTCACGACGTTCTGAACCCAGCTCACGTACTACTTTAATGGGCAAACAGCCCAACCCTTGGAACATACTCATCTAGATTTTCGGAGAGAAACCACAAATCTTCTAGAGAAAAGAAGAGAGCATCCATGGTCGTTCATATATATGGCTTTATATATATGTATAGTACAATTGATCAAGAATTTTTAGGGTTTGGTTTAGTTAGGGTTTGTTTTGTTAGAATTCAAAGCATAGCAGGGTACTTGCCGTTGAAGATGAAGAGGAAGGAACTCGATCGAGTGAACGACGATTTCTCAGATTTCTCTCTTTCTTCGCCTGCTTGAAAAATCCGTAGATTAGTAACTAAAATTTCTCTAATTTCTTCATACAAATTTTGCAATTTCTCTCTCTTTACTTTTTCTCTGTATCAATATTACAATCTCTCTCTGTATCATATTTAATCGATCTCTTTGACTAGAGGTGCTATGTCGAACAGAGACTATAATCTGTCAAAACCACTTCTTTGAGAGAGAAACTTCCATGACAGGAACAGGAACAGAGAGAGCCAATTAAAGAAGTATAAGAACAGAGCCTGCAGATTTCTGGGTCTGAGTTGGAAACTGAGAAGAAATCTCCCGTTGGTGACCCGGTGAGTTTCGGTTCCCCAATTCGCATAATTTCATCTTCTTGGGTTCATGGAAGCAATCCCGAAATTAACCCAAAAACCAACTTCGTACTTCCACCACCATCACTTTCACCACCCCTACCACCACTCAATTGAACCCACTATGATTTCGATCATGATGGAAATAAAAAACCCACCACGAAACCCATTCGTAAATGTGTATGTCTATCTTGACATTTCTTTTAGTTTCAACTTTTTTATTTGATTAAACTGAGTAGAACTCACTGGAAGTAGAAGTTGGGATGAGGTTTAGTACTTCATCTGGAGGTACAGATTGTGATCATAAAAATACAAGGAATATATATATATATGGTGAGGGATAGTAAAGAAATATAAGAAGGGTAATTTCGAAATAAATGGTTTAAAATGGTCATGTGCATGACACATGACCAACTGACGTTCAATTTTCACCGAAATTCTCACAAGATGTGCTTAATTGCACATTTTTATATTTTGTAGGGATTTATATAAACAAATATAACTAAAAGGTGTAATTCACACAAATTAAAAACCACAAGAATGTTTTTCAGACTTTCCCCTTAAGTAAATAAAAAGTGTCAACTTTTTTTTTAACATCTAATGTAGAATTTTTTTTAAGTTAAGATAAAAAGATTTTCAAACTACCATAATAAGCAAAAAATAAAAATAAAAATTACACTAATTAATATTTTTTATTAAAAATTTCTTAGACTTAGGCTTCGTTTGGATACACTGGAGAGAAAAGAAAAGAAAGGATTATGAGAGAAAAGAAAAGAAAAGAAAAGAAAGGGAAGGAAATGTTTATATTCATGTTTGGATAAACAGGAGAGAAAAGAAAAGAATTGATAATATTGTTGTTTGGATAATAAAAAGGAGAGAAAAGAAAAGAATTGATAATAATAAAATTACTATCTTACCCTTTTTGGTACGGTTAGAACGCAAAATCATTTGAGCCTCCTCCATCTATCTATTCCGATCTCACAGATCCCTCTTTCTCTCTCTCTCTCTCTCTCCAACTACAAAATCTACAAAAATAGTCAAAACCCATATCAGCTCTCTCTCTCTTCAATTGCCAACTACAAAATTTACCAAAATTAGTAGATCAAAACCCATCTGCTCTCTCTCTCTCCCCAGCTGCAAACTACAAAATCTACAAAAATAGAAGGTCAAAACCCATATTGGCTCTCTCTCTCTCCAACTGCCAACTACAAAATCTACCAAAATCAGAAGACGATCTCTGCAACAGACGATCTCTGCAACTTCCAGCGAATTTTCCGGCGATCTCTGCAACTTCCGGCGAATTTTCAGACGATTTCTGCAACTTCCGGCAACTTTTCCGACGATTTTTGCAACTTCCGGCGACTTTTCCGGCAGTCTCTGCAACTTCCGACGAATTTTCCGACGATATCTGCAACTTCCGGCGACTTTTCCGGATGGGCTCCAAACGTCATTAGCTCCCTTTCTCTCCAAATCTTGTCAATTTTGGAGGGATTTGGTTTTACTGTTTAGGAGAGATTTGGAGGGATAGGCTATCCCTCCAAATCCTTCCCAATCCTTTCTTTTCTCTCCAAAACCCTCCATCCAAACACACCTATCCCTATCCTTCCCTTTCTTTTCTCTCCAAAACCCTCCAAATCCCTCCATCCAAATGAGGCCTTACTATTTAAATATCTCTCCATCACAATTTTTTTGGTGTACTTATTCATTATATTTTTTAAAATTGCATCACTTGTAATAGTAAAATTTATCACCATGGAGTTAAAAAAACTGTGAATATAAGAATATTGACCTCAATTTATTTTCTGAAAATGATTTTTCTTGCAGTCAATTCACAGGTGAAATACCTGAAAATTAACCCTGTCCCAGATATTTGAAGCCATACACAAATAATTATCAAAGAGTCCAACCCTGGTGGTGGAATATAATGGAATGTGGCGAGATGCACAATGTGTTCATTAGATATTGGAATATTGAACTCATTCAATTGAATTATGCAGCGATTACTTCATAATTAAACTCTATCCCTTCCTACTAACAAATAAATAACATGTTTCTGACAAATTGAACTATCAGATTCGACTAGTTAGTATACTATGGTATTTTGATATGATATTTTTTTTGTATGATATGATCATTTAAAGACAATTAACGTAATATCTATATACGTGCAAGTCAATAATAAGTATATTAAATTTGGGAATATCACTAGTACTGCTGGTAGTCAATTCTCCTAATTTATAAGTCGTCCATAAGTGTTGTGATCAGACTTTCACTGAATCGTTCAAAGATTAAGAAATTGTTATCTAAATTAATGCATGCCGCACTTCTTCTTCTGCCCAAATCACTCTGAATCGTCCACTTACCTTTCCATCACTCTGGAGTGGAGGAGTTCCTGCCACGTAGATCTTTATATTTAAATCTAGAAATCTTTAAGCAAACCATTTATAATTCCCATTGCAAGCAAGGCCACCCTCATTTTGTGTGATCAATTTGAGGTCAACTATGTTTTATTCATGCATTTAAACCACTTGACTTTAAACAAGGAATCGTTGGACCATTTTGAATTTTTGTTAAAATTGCAGCTAAAGGGCACTATCAGCATTTACAGCACCTACTAAACCTACATTATTGTTCTATTATATAATCTTAAACCACATTGATAAGAAGCAGTACTAAAAAACTTGGGCTCATAGAAAGGGTAAGGTGAGAGCATCAGACTCTATTTATATGAAGATGGATGGTTTGTGGTGGTGGTGGGTTGGGTTGGTTTGGATATTGTTTCACATCCATGTTAATGGATCCTTTGGTTGCTTGGAGTCAGAGAGGATGGCTCTCTTGCAAATCAAAGCTTCCATCAACTATCCAAATGGAACTTCTCTGCCATCTTGGGAAGACATGGGTGATTCAGTGACTGACTGTTGTGACTGGGAACGAGTTGAGTGCAACGCCACCACAAGGCGTGTCACTAAACTCTCTCTCAACTTTACAAGGGATCATAGCTTGGATGAATGGTACTTCCAGAAAAATGAAAAGAAAAGCCTAGAGAAATGGGGTTTCAATGCCTCCTTTTTTCTTCCCTTCATAGAGCTCAGTGTTCTTGACTTGAGTGGTAATGGGCTTATTGGTTGGATCCCAAATCAAGGTCTGTAATTCTTGTTTTCCAAACTAAATCCTATTTGGTGAAATTTTTTATGATCTTTTTTATATAATTTCTTTGAATTGTAGTTACAAATATTTGTGAAGATAATGACTGAAAAAGGATCTCCCTTTACAGGCTTTGAAAGACTAATTGGGTTGAACAAGCTGAAGGCCCTTATCTTGGATTATAATTTTTACAATTACAGCATCCTACCATCACTTAGAGTGCTTTCATCACTTAAGACACTAAGTATAAAGCACAACAAATTGGATGGATCAATTGATATTCAAGGTAAGTCATTTCTTCAATAATTGTTTTTTTTTTTTTTTTTTTTTTTCATAGTTTTTCATTCTAGTAATAATCATACAAATAATTAAGTTACACGATCTCCAAGTTTTTAGAGTAAATTTGGATGCTAACTGCATAAAGCATAAATCTGACAATTAATATGGGAACCCAATTGTATATGAAACAGAGTTTTGTATATTTACAAAATAAAATATAAAGTACAAAATTTTCATTTTTTGTAGACTTTTGTGATATGAGCAACTTGGAGGCCCTTGATTTGAGTTATAACTGGATTGACAGCCTCGTGATTGCAGGAGGTATGAAAAGTTAAAAAGTCTATAATTGAATTGAAGGTGCTGTCAACTTTGCGACATATTTTCATGTATGCAGGTACGAATTGCTTAAGCAGGCTGCGAGTTCTTGCCTTGAAATGTCAACACTGTGATGCAATTCGTTTCCAGTACTCAAATCTAAGTTCAAGCATTTTACAGTCCCTGGGAGCATTACCATCTCTTAAGGCTTTGAGTGTTAGTGTGAAGGGACTGATTACAGTAAAAGGTATTTTAGTGTCCATATTGCTTAGCAACTACCATCCCGTGCTCGATGTGAATTACCAATAATATCTTATTAACATCAATTTTCATACTGTTTTTGTACTTCATCCTATATATGATCCATATAGATATCATTTAAATTCTGTAGCAGACACCATATTAATTATAACTATTTTGGTTTCTTATATATATAGATTTGGAAGCCTTGATCAGATTGGAGCACTTGGATTTAGATTTCTCGTCCATCAAAGGGAACTTTCTTCAGGATGTTGGAGTGATGACTTCTCTAAGGTTCTTATCATTGCGAAGTTCTGGATTAGGTGGCAACCTACCAACTCAAGGTACGTACATACATGAATAAATCTGTCACATGTACCATTAATTGCTTTGATTTCTTTCCTTGTTGATTTAAGTTGTTCAGGCCTCAATAAGGTTGATCAACTCTATTGAAATGAAAATTCATTCTATCCTACTTTTTACATCTTTACAGGCTGGTGCAACCTTAAAAACCTCCACGTGCTAGATCTCAGTGAAAATGAATTAGTGGGGATACTTCCATCATGTTTGGGAAACTTGACATCTCTCCGACAATTGGATCTCTCTTTGAACCATTTCAATGGAAATATTGCCCACACTCCTCTTACTAGTCTCATGGCACTTGAATACATTTCCCTTTCATATAACCAATTCACGGTTCAATTCTCGTTTGCCTCATTTTTCAACCATTCAAAGCTCAAGGTCATTCTAAGTGATAGCAACATTCTGAGTGTTGAAAATAAGTTCCAATCATGGATTCCAAGGTTCCAACTGGAGGCTTTCAGCTGTTCAAATTGTACCATTAACAGACTTCCCAGATTCCTATATCACCAAACTGGTTTAAGAGTGGTTGATCTCTCCTACAACCAGCTGGTGGGTAAGTTACCAATCTGGTTGTTAGAGAACAATACGAGACTGGAAGGATTCATCCTACAAAATAACTATTTCACAGGCCCTCTTGAATTAGTTTGTTCTCCTCAACCTCAAGTTTCCTCAGTAAATCTTGCTAACAATCGCTTAAGTGGTGAACTCCCTACAAATTTGAATGTAATATTTCCAAATTTGTTATATTTGAACCTGTCCGGAAATATGTTTCAAGGTAATATTCCTTCTTCTTTAGGTGATCTTAGCCCTTTATTGAACCTAGATTTATCCAAAAACAACCTCTCAGGGAAAATACCAGAACATCTGGCAATGGGTATCTCCTCCTTAAGTTTCCTCAGATTATCAAATAATCGTTTGTACGGTCAAATTTTCCCAAAATCCTTTAACCTGACCAAGTTGACATGGTTATATTTGGACAACAATCAATTTGACGGAAAGATCCCAGATAGCTTGTCTAATACCAATTTGTGGGCGATGGATATTAGTAATAACAATTTGTCGGGCATGCTTCCACAGTGGATGGGGAATATGTTAGATTTAAAGGAATTTGATGTGTCTGGAAATCAGCTTGAAGGTCCCATTCCCATTGAGTTTTGTGAACTCAATAAACTCGAGTTTCTAGATCTTTCAGATAACAATCTGTCTGGCTCCGTTCCTTCTTGTTTTAGTCCCTCATCCATAAGATACGCCCATCTAAATAAAAATGGACTGAGTGGTCCCTGGACTCGTGCATTCGACAGAAGCACTTCTTTGGTAACATTAGACCTTGGAGATAACAGCTTAACTGACAGCATTCCAGGTTGGATTGGCACTCTTTCAGCACTAAGCATTCTAATATTGAAGGCTAATCATTTTAAAGGTGTCGTTCCCTTGCAGTTATGCCACTTGAACCAAATAAGCCTGATTGATCTTTCTCATAACAATCTTTCTGGTCCTATACCACATTGCCTGATTAACATTACTTTTAAAGCAAGTGAGAGTAAATCTTTCTCGGGAACCGATTATGTGGGTAACCTTGATTTGAGGGCACTACAGACGTCCCTCAATGGTATGTCTTATTTGGGAATGCTAGAGCTCAACTTCCATTATGCATTCAATCGACAATCTGGCCTTTTTACTGTCAAAGAAGAGGTGGAATTCACAACAAAGTCTAGGTCCTATTCATATGAGGGCACTGTGCTTAAATTGATGTCTGGAATTGATTTCTCTTGCAACCAATTGACAGGTGAAATCCCATTGGAACTTGGGAATTTAACTGAGATCCATACACTAAACTTGTCCCATAACAATCTGATAGGATCAGTCCCAACAACATTCTCCAACCTCAGAAACTTGGAGAGTATAGATCTTTCCTACAACAACTTGAACGGCAGTATCCCCTCTGAATTAACTGACTTGAACTTTCTAGTGGATTTCAATGTGTCACACAACAACTTATCTGGTAAAATACCAGACATGAAAGCTCAGTTTGCAACCTTCAATGAGAGCAGCTATGAGGGAAATTTCTATCTTTGCGGACCTCCATTACCTAACAATTGCAGTGACATGGGTTCACCATCACCAATTCAAAATTCTTTGGAGGATGAGGAGAAAGATGATGGTTTGATTGACATGGATTTTTTTTGTGTGACTTTTTCAGTGTCCTATATAACTGTGTTGTTAGGGATTGCAGCTGTTTTGGGTATTAATCCTTATTGGCGAAGGGTATGGTTCAACTTCATTGAAATGTGCATGACATCTTCCTACCATTTTGTTGTTGACAGCTTTCATAAGCTGCTCAATTGTTAGGAATGTGTAACTCTTCTTGATTAGATAATTGTGTCTAGGTATATGTACATTTCTTGTTTTTCAATCCAAGTCAATTAATTTGTTTGTGTACCCAACCCATATTGGCATTATTTCCTCTGCCAACTTGTATATGATTTAAATTTTCAGCAAATGGTGTTTGAAATTTCTTAAAAAATTTGCGTCAGATTAATATAGTAATAGTACCATAAAAATAAAAAATAAAAAATAAACAATAACAAAATAAAAGAAGAAGAAGAAGAAGAAGAAGAAGAAATTGCTGCTGTGAGCAGCCGGACAAACTCTTCAGCTACCCCAAACAAATATAATTGTACTGCTAGTTATTACCAATAGCTTTTATAAACAATTTAGATGGACTGCTTTCAGCGACAGTTTTAAGAAATAGCTACTAACATTCCATTATTAAAAAAAGCTACAGATACTTAAAGTCACACACACATAATTATCAAAAGAAGCTGCATTTACTCCCATTGAAAAGGGACATTAACCTTTATTTTGGATGGAAGGGAAATCAATCTCACGCCCAAAAAAAAAAAAACTTGCCCAGCTCCCCATATACAGAAAATATTATTTTGTTCACATTGATTGTGAAAATATTATGTATTATGGTTCACAAATGTAACAATTGCACTTAATCTACTTGCATTAAATCTGTCACATCATTAATTACTTTCTCCCAATCCAGCTACATAGGCCTTGACCAGCTTAATTTGGACAGAAGAAAAAGTGTGGCATGCATTTAGTTAATGGATGGTGATGGACTGATGGTGTTGCAGTAAGTCAATCCTTTCCCATTTGCAACCGGCAGTGGTTCATTTACGTTGTTGCCAAGCTGTATCTTGATTGTCCCTTCCTCACTCCAACGACTTAATCAAGAGACTTGCCTACCAAACAGTACTAGTGATATATACATTCCCAAATTGAATACAGAGGAGTGTCTTATGGGCTAGATTTATTCTGAAAAAAAAACGTTTTGAAACTTTAATCTGACAAATTGTTGTGTGTTTTGGAAGATAAAATAAATGGAATTGAGGGGTTTATGGCGATGGGTATTGCTAGTTTTGGTATGGATTCATGAAAATGGATGTTGTGGTTGGTGGGAGCAAGAAAGGATTGCCCTCTTGCAACTCAAGGCTTCCATCAACTACCCAAATGGAACTTCTTTGCCATCTTGGAAGGACGCAGTGGGTATAGAGAGTGGCTGTTGTGATTGGGAAGGAGTTGAGTGCAACATCACCACAGGGCATGTGGTTAAACTTCTTCTTAATTTAACAAGGGATTATAGTTTAGGAGATTGGTATTTCAATGCCTCTCTCTTTCTTCCCTTCAAACAGCTTAGAATTCTTGATTTGATGGATAATTCGCTTGTTGGTTGGGTTGCAAATGAAGGTCAAAATTTTCTTGTTTTAGCTGACTAATAACCAGTAGTATTTGATGAAATTTATTATATGCTTATAATAATTATTATTAGGGTTAAATGCAAAAAACCCCCCTGAACTATTGACAAAGTTGCAATTAACCCCCCTAAACTACAAAAGTTGCAACTAACCCCCTGAACTATTCAATTTTGTTTCAGATAACTCCATCCGGCGAAAATCCGGCAAGTTTTGGCCGTTAAAAATAATTTACTTATTTTAAAAGACCATACTGCCCTTATATGCATGAAAGGACTAAAATGCCCTTAATTTCCATAGACCCCATAGCATACCCAAACACGCCCTATAACTGTTCACCATCTTCAACAGCAGGCGTTCGTGGTTCAACACCGACCAGCCCATCTTCCACACCGAAAGCCGTTTAACCCAAATCACACTAAAATCCCACTGCCACCACCATTCGAAGCAATTGAACCACAATTTTAAAAAATTTAAATAATTCATAGTGAACCAGTCCAGCCACTGCCATCACCGCCGTAGCCACAAACGTTTCTCAAACAATTTCCCAATTGAATCAATTCAAATACAGTAATTCGTACTGAAACACCAAAGCTCAATCGATATATTTATATATATATAGATATACACACGAGTCGTCACTGGTAATCACCCCAAATTAATTGCACCATGAGTCGTCATTAGTGGTGGCTCCACTACCACCACCATCATCCGAAGGCAAGCTCGCTGCTGCCATCACACCGTGAAGCACCTCATTGCGGCTGAGTCCTCTCCACAACCCGTCGCCCACCGCTGCGAAAGCTCGCCGTCACCGTCTCGCCCCCATCCGAGCACTGCCGAAGTTCATCCACAACCCATCTTGCCCGCTGTTCTATCAATCACCGGCGCACAAAAGCCGTTGTCGCCAACGCCAGATCCGTCGCCGCTGTGCCATTCTCTGATTTGTGCCAGAATCGCGACTTCCCTAGTCGCTGTTCTACACCATCGAGCTCTCTACCAGCCGAAATATCCACAACCCACACCGCCGAGCTCTCTCTCACGCGCCGGCTGCCATCACCTTCACCCCTCTCTCTCTCGCTCGGCGGCTACGACGATGATCGATGCTCTGTTCCACATCCACGGTTGACGAATTGCAAAGAGATCTCCACCAGTGCTGCCGCCACTTCTTCCATTTCTGCAGTGTGTGTGGCTTCGGGTTTGGTTGTATTGAGTATATAACAAACTTGGAAGGGCAGTTTCGTCTTTTTACTTTTCCGGTGGCCTGAGTGGGCAAATTGCAACAAATTCATAGTTTAGGGGTTTTTTTTTAATTCAAGGGGGTTAGTTGCAAAACCCCCAATAGTTCAGGGGGGTTTTTTGCATTTAACCCTTATTATTATTATGGATTTACTTATTGGGGAATAATTACAACATAATTCTGGTCTTTTATCCTTGCAGGTTTGTTATATGCTTATAACAATTCATAATAATTATTATTATGGATTTACTTATTAGGTTTTAGTTATTTTTACATAATTCTGGTCTTTGATCCTTGCAGGTTTTGAAAGATTAAATGGGTTGGATAAGCTGGAGGTCCTTACCCTGGATCAAAATTTTTACAATAACAGCGTCCTACCATCTCTTGGGGTGCTATCATCCCTTAAAATTCTTCATTTGAGGAACAACCTTTTGAAAGGATCAATTAATGTTCAAGGTAAGTCTACTGCTGAAGAAAAGCTCCTACCATTATCCTGCACCACAAAATAACCATAGAAGGGAAGCATACCAATTGACAAACAATTTTCTTTTCTCGTAATGGAATTCATCAAAAAAAAAAAAAAGCAAACAAGCAAAATAATGACACTGACGTTAGTATGTTTATGAAATAATTAAAATAGTACAATAGATGACAGATTGCTTCTTTTATATATGGTAGACTTGTGTGGTATGAGCAACTTGGAGGAGCTGGATTTGACATATAACATGATTCAAAGCTTCAGGACAAGAAGAGGTATAAATATAATATGGTAAAAAGATGTCTGATGAAGTTTCAGTCATTCTCTTCATGTTGCTGACTTGAATGAATTGATGGTATATATGATCTATATTGTAAGTTATTGATTGCAACATCTCTCCATGCAGGTAGAAAGTGCTTAGGCAAGCTGCAGGTTCTAGTCTTGAAAGGTCACAATTTTTCTGCAAGTGTTTTGCAGTCACTGGGAGCATTTCCATGTATTAAGACTTTAGTAATTAGTTTGAAGGGATTGATTATGGAAAAAGGTAGAATTAATAGTGTTCATGCTTAGATCGATAACTGCAGTATCATGTTAAATATGCATCCACAAATTCTCACTGCAATGTTTCATAGTAGTTGTGAGAGTACTAACTACCAGAAATCTCCTCTACTTATTCCTGCTCTCTCTCTCTCATGGTATTTTTCTGTTGGGGTATATTGTAAAATAACAAGATGTTATAACATCCTACATAATTTATTTTTATTACTTTTTATTTTTTTGGTACTGACATCTGATGCTGCATATATATAAGATAGATATCAGTATTACTCCGTATTTCTTAGTAGGCAACACATTATAACTTTTTTTTATTTATTAATATTCTAATACAGATTTGGATGGCTTGGACAACTTGGAGCAATTGGTTTTGGATTTTTCATCCATCGACCGTAGCTTTCTTCAAAATGTTAGAATGATGACTTCTCTGACATTTTTATCGTTGCATAGTTGTGGACTTGCTGGCAGCTTACCAACTCAAGGTATATTAATTGATGTTTTAACATCTCTTTCTCTATATATCTACACCTTCTGTTACTTTGATCTTTAACATCAACAAAGTCCTCGGATTAATAACTCTACTCATATAAAAAATATATATAATAAAAATAAATAAATAAAAAACTCAATTATCTGAGATGAGTTCTTATATTTTACAGGCTGGTGCGACCTTAAGAACCTGAAAGCGCTGGATCTCAGTGAAAATGATCTTGAGGGGATGCTTCCTTCATGTTTAGGAAACTTGACATCTCTTCTACTATTGGATCTCTCTTTGAACCATTTTTCTGGAAATGTGGCTCAATCTCCTGTTACCAGTCTCATGTCACTTGAATACCTTTCCCTTTCATATAACCACTTTGAGGTTCCATTCTCCGTTGCCTCATCTTTCAACCATTCAAAGCTCAAGATCATTCTAAGTGATAGTAACATCCTAAATGTTGAAAACAAGTTCCAGTCACGGATTCCAAGGTTCCAACTGAAGGTTTTCAGCTGTTCAAATTGTAGCCTCAAAACATTTCCTGATTTTCTTTATCACCAAAATGACCTGAGAGTGATTGATCTGTCCTATAACAACTTCGTGGGGAAGTTCCCTACCTGGTTGTTAGTGAACAATACGAGATTGGAAGTACTTAGGCTACGAAGTAACAATTTCACAGGGCCTTTTCAATTGCTTTCTTATCCTAATCCACTTATTTCAAGATTGGATGTTTCAGATAATTGCATGAGCAGTCAAATTCCAAAGAATTTAAATGTAATGTTTCCAAATTTGCAGTCTCTCAACATGTCCAGAAATATGTTCCAAGGTAATATTCCTTCATCCCTGGGTGATCTTAGCTCTTTATGGGTTCTAGATTTATCCAACAATAACCTGTCAGGAGAAACACCAGAACATATTGCACGGGGTTGCTACTCCTTACGACTCCTCAAACTATCAAACAATCATTTGCAAGGTCAAATATTTCCAAAATCCTTCAACCTGACTATGTTGTTTCTGTTATTATTGGACGGTAATCACTTTGTCGGAAAGATACCTCATAGCTTGTCTAACGCCACCAATTTGAGGGCGTTGGATATCAGTAGTAACCATTTGTCTGGCATGCTCCCGCATTGGATGGGGAATATGTCAAGTTTGATAGAAATTAATATGGCAAAAAATCAGCTTGAAGGTCCTATTCCAACTGAGTTTTGCAAACTTGAATTGCTTAGGTTTGTGGACCTTTCTGAGAATAATCTGTCTGGATCTATTCCATCCTGTTTTTCTCCACCAAAGCTAGCATATGTCCATCTGAATAAAAATGGATTAAGTGGTCCATGGACTCGTGCTTTTAACAGCTCTACCTTGGTAACATTAGACCTTGGAGATAACAACTTAACTGGTACAATTCCGGAATGGATTGGCAGCCTTTATGCATTAAGCATTCTGATATTGAAAGCTAATCATTTTGAAGGTGAGGTCCCCTCTAAGTTATGCAACTTGAACCAAGTCAGTCTGGTCGATCTTTCTCAGAATTATCTATCTGGTTCTATACCACATTGCCTAATTAACATTACTTTTAAAGCAAGTGGTAGCAAATCTTTTGTAGGAGGCCCTAGTATATCGACTCCTAATTCAAGGTCATTAGCTTTGTCTATCATGGGGATGACATATACGTGGATGACAGATTTGCCTATGGCGCTCGAGTATGAATCTAATTATGAAAATCATTCATATATTGCTGTCAAAGAACGGGTGGAATTTACAACAAAGAGCATCTCCTACTTGTACGAGGGCATTGTCCTAAATTTAATGTCGGGACTTGATTTCTCTTGCAACCAGTTGACAGGTAAAATCCCACAGGAACTCGGGTACTTAACGGACATTCATACATTAAACTTGTCCCATAACAATCTGGTAGGATCAATCCCGGCAACATTCTCCGGCCTAAGAAATATAGAGAGTTTAGATCTTTCCTGTAACAACTTGAATGGGAGTATCCCTTCTCAGCTGACTGATCTAACCTCTCTGAGCTTCTTCAGTGTGGCATACAACAACTTATCAGGTAAAACACCAGATAGGAAGGATCAATTTGCAACCTTCAACAAAAGCAGCTATGAAGGAAATCCTTATCTATGTGGACCTCCACTGCATGAAAATTGCCCCAACACTGGATCGCCATCAACAAAGCGAAATGCTTCAGAGGATGAGGAGAATGATGATGGTTTCATGGACATGGGTATTTTTTATGTGACTTTTTCAGCGTCCTATATAACTGTGTTGTTAGGTATTGCAGCTGTTTTGTGTATTAATCCTTATTGGAGAAGGGTATGGTTCGACTTCATTGAAGTGTGTATAACCACTTTCTACTATTTTGTAGTTGACTGCTTTCATAAGCTGCTCAATTGCAGGAATGTGTAACTCCTTATCGGACAATTCTGCTGCCTCCACAAGTCTCCACATATCTATGTGTCAATATAAGTTTGATTTAATGTATTATGTTTCCTTTACCCAATCCATGTTACCATTACTTCCCCCAAGATTTAAGTTTTAGGTTAAGGTGTTTTAAATTTCTACAGATTTTTGCATCTAAGGGGTGCATTACCACCAATAAATGAAAATCTATTTCTTGCTATTTTTTTCTTGATTTGGGAACCAATGTCAAGCAATTTCTTGCTGTTTCTTTCCCGGGAGACAGTTGCAAAGAGCCCATTCAGCACCAGGTGGGGTGAATATTGTCTAACGGATATAGAATTCAATTCTAACCTTGGTCTTAATCCAGGTTCTTTACTTATTAGTTAGATAATTGAATTGTCTTATTTAATTACATTTGTTAGTAGTTACATACACATATATTATAGGGCGAATTGCAAAAAACCCCCTTGACTTTCACCCTTTAGCAAAAAAACCCCTTATGAATTGTTGTAGCAAAAAACCCCCCTCAACTATTATGAGGGGGGTATTTTAACTGATGGCCGTTCAAGGGGTTATGTTTTGGACGAAAATACCCCTTAAACAGTCAATTGGTTACCACCACCATTAACGCGCGTCTTTTACCATATGTCTTCTCCAACCATCCTTCAGTCCCAGTGAGGGAACAGATCAGAACAGCTCGGTCTGAACCGAAAACAGAGGCAAGAGACATCAGTATGAAATTACTCATTGGAATCATCTGCACTGGCTGGTGAACATGAAGGATGCAGACCTTCCTTCCTCCTGAGTTATGCAGTGCCCATGACAAAGTATATTTACTCTCTTTAACCTCCTTCCCCACCGTAACATATATCCTATCTTCAATCATTCTCACAGGTGGTTCTTCCACAATTTCATTTGTACTAGCCATCATTCTAGAGATTTCAATCTTGATATGCTACTTATCAAACAGAATCATATCCAAGCATCAATTTAAAAACAAAAAATCCCTTTGGTTTCTGGATGAAACAGCTCATTATCTGCTAACTTACCCGCGAAGCAGTGCATTCCTTTTGTTTGGAGAGCTCAAAACTCCACATTAATAGGATAGAGGAGGGTTCAAAATCGAGGGGCTTATATTCAGCCAGCCCTACCAATATGTAAAGAGCTTCAGATTTTCCAAGACTTGCAGTAATGTTTGCATAAATAGATGGATTCCTAACTAATTAAATTTTCCCATAAATGCAAGAGGGAAAAAATGTTTGAAATTCTTTAAAGACCTGAAAAATTGACAGTTTGATCTTAAGCCTCATAAACAAATGTGAAGTAATAAATAGCCCCTCCGGCCACAGACCAATGAAACAAAACCAATACCAACATCATCATCGACTTTTTAAATCTTTACAGGCTGGTGCAACCTTAAGAACCTCCAAGAGCTAGACCTCAGCAAAAACGATTTTGTGGGATACTTCCATCATGTTTAGGAAACTTGACATCTCTCCGAAAATTGGATCTCTCTTTGAACCATTTCAATGGAAATATTGCCCAGACTCCTCTTACTAGTCTCATGGCACTTGAATACATTTCCCTTTCATATAGCCACTTCATGGTTCCATTCTCGTTTGCATCATTTTTCAACCATTCAAAGCTCAAGGTCATTCTACGTGATAGCAACAATATTCTGAGTGTTGAAAATAAGTTCCAATCATGGATTCCAAGTTTCCAACTGGAGGCTTTTAGCTGCTCAAATTGTACCATTAATAAACTTCCCAGCTTCCTATATGACCAAAGTGGCCTAGGAGTGGTTGATCTCTACTACAGCCGCCTGGTGGGTAAGTTACCAATCTGGTTGCTAGAGAACAATTAGAGCTCACCTTCCATTATGGATTCAATCGACAATCTGAACTTTTTACTGTCAAAGAAGAGGTGGAATTCACAACAAAGTCTAGGTCCTATTCATATGAGGGCACTGTGCTTTAATTTATGTCTGGAATTGATTTCTCTTGCAACCAATTGACAGGTGAAATCCCATTGGAACTTGGGAATTTAACCGAGATTCATACACTAAACTTGTCCCATAACAATCTGATAGGATCAGTCCCAACAACATTCTCCAACCTCAGAAACATAGAGAGTTTAGATCTTTCCTATAACAACTTGAACGGGAGTATCCCCTCTCAATTAACTGACTTGACCTTTCTAGTGGATTTCAATGTGGCACACAACAACTTATCGGGTAAAAACCGTAAAATACCAGACATGAAAGCTCAGTTTGTGACCTTCAATCTATGAGGGAAATTTATATCTTTGTGGACCTCCATTACCTAACAGTTGCAGCAACACTGGATCAACTTCACAAATGCAAAATATTTCTGAGAATGATGGTGGTTTCATGGACGAGGGTGCATTTTATGCGAGTTTTTCAGCATCTTATATAACAGTGTTATTGGGAATTGCACTAGTTTTGTTACTACTTCTGTATATAAATCCTTATTGGCGATGGGTATGGTTCAACTTCATTGAAGTCTATATAAACTCTTGCTGCTATTTTGTTATTGACAGCTTCCATAAGCTGTCCAACTGCAGCAACATGTAACTCAAATACTTATTTTACTTTTATGTTCCTCAATTTCAACTTTAAGTTTGAATTAATATATTTGCATTCTCTATCTGACCCAGATGTTTTTTCAGCAATCTTGTATATGACTTATAATTTATATTGTTCCAATGATCTGAATTTTCAGTACATGCTGTTTCAATTTTCAGATATATATATATATATATATAGAAACAAAATAAAATGCTATCCGTAAATTTCCTTCTAGACTCCAATGTGTGACTGTACTTTTATCCTCACCTGTAGTTCTTGTAATCAAATTTGATGAACTGCCTTGAATGACTTCCAAAAAGCTACAAACATTCAGTCATCTTAAAAACTGCAGACTCGAAAGCACATCATGACACACACACACATTTAGGTACAGTTGCTCTAGGATCAACATCTGAGTAAATGACAATTTTGCAGTAACATCCTTGTATACCTCTAAGAACCTTGCCCTGGTGGCATACAATGTTGGCAGGAAAAATATATGTGCCCTCAGTCAGTTCCCTAGGCTATAACTTATCCCCTTTGGTCAGGGCCGGCCCTAAGATTCCAAATATTTTGAGAGGCCCTAGGCAAACTTTCAAATGTGAGGCCCTTAAGTTTCACATGCGCAAAAAAAATTATAGGAGTGCGGAATTTTCACACGATGTTTTCAAATTCTATAGCTCATATAATTGTACGCATCTGCATTGTGCATAAGACAACTAACTAATAACTATAATCTTCATTCATTAAATCTTCACGTTCATTGACTAACTTCCTATGATCTTCATTCATTAAATATTCATGTTTATTGAGATTTTCTTCATTTGCTTTCGCATTCATATGTTCTTCCTTCACCAAATCTTCGACTAAACTCTCTATTTGTGTATTGCTCCTAAAAAACTTAAGAATATCTCCTTTTTGAGATTGAATCAATTCTTCTTCTCTCTTCTTTTTTTCTTTTGTACTTTTTCCATGCCCAGATTCAAATTTTATTGTATACATAATGATATCTCTTGAAATCTAAATAACAGGAACCATAATCAACATAAAACTAGACTTCAAAAAAATAATAATAATAATTTGCTTTGTTTAAAGAAAATATATATTACCTCAATATGCAATGATTTGATTCAAGTTCAAGGCAAATAACCTCACAAGATCCTAAGAAGAGTGTCCTGCTAGCATGTGAGAGAAGATCACAATTAACATAAAACGGATGGAGAATCAAACAGAAACAATAATAACTGGCATTGCCGATCATACAATAAATATAATAAATAAATAAATAAATTCTAAAATCAAGCAGTTTGGTCGAATGGTTGAATGGTCGAATGGCTGGAGTTTTCATTGGAATCTGGAAGAGAGGAGAGGATGGAAGACAAAACAGAGTATCAAAAAATACAATCCAAAAGTGGAAATGAGGAACAGAAAACTGCAGTTTCTTTTTTACATTCATTGTTTATATAGCTGCTAAAATTTGATGATTACAGATGACAAAAATATGTGGAGATGAAGTGACTATATATATATATAGGAGGCTGAACTTGTAATGCTGAAGAAGTAGTGGGACTTTTAGGTTATATGAGACATCCACTATCATAATATAGTTTTGTCTTTCACTCTTTATATTACCTACACTTTGTGTGTGTTTTTTGGGAGCCAATTACCCCTTTCTTGATTTCAGGATGAGGAATCAACTTTAGTAGCAGTGTTTGATTTGTAACGACCCAAAATGATACCAGTCATAAAAAAATAATAATAAAAAAAATAATAAAAATAAAATTCGGCGTGATCGCGGCTAAAAAGGGTCCTACAACAACCTGTTGAAATGCATAAAAATGTAATGGCCTCTCTTGGACCTTCAAAACTAATCTAACCTATTCCAACACACAATGCAAATAATATAAAACATTCCCAAAACAACAACACCAACAACCTCCTCAAAATAGCCCATCATTATCATCCCATTCATCCAGAACAAAGGAGTACCTATCTTATACATAGTCCCATGCTCACATACTAGAATTTTACTCCAATTACATCAACTTACAGTTCATGAAGCAAAATTACAATAACAAAAGTTCATAAGTCTCTATACCGAATATATCAAACTAAGGTTTTACAAAAAATGATGGGACTTAGATACAAAAATAGCAAAATGATCCTCTAATCCAAACTAGGCCTGTGGTGGAACATCATCCGCCACTTCTTTCCCATGTCCTGAAAAATGTTAAATAATAGAGTGAGCATAAAGCTCAGTAGAAATCGCCTAAGGCGTCAGTTTTTGACTCCTTTGAGCCACGTAACATGTAAAAGAATAGAATAGGAATCAGGGTCATACAATGGGGCCCACACAATATTTTCAACTTAATAGGCAACAATCCCAATACTTAACACAATTCCACAATTGATGTGCATGATATGAAATGTTATATACCCGTCCCGAATCCGGTCCATATCGACCCAACCCACACTTTTTGAAAATCCGCTAACTGACTTTTTAATGACTATCCCCGATTCCAAATCCGGCAACCAATAAAGGGCCTAGCATTAACTTTTTCACGCCCTACACCGAGCCGCGCTCCCTCTAGGTCAAGCTAGCCCCGGACTCACGAAATCCGGTTCATTTAAAAAAAAAAAAATTCCCTTTCTAAAAAAAAAAACAAACTTCAATTTCTAAAAAAAATCTTCTTTTCAAATCTTCTCCAAAAATTCCCCCTTTATGCCATGATATGCAATGCAATGACTTTCACTCTCATAAAGCCCAAATTCATCATTATAGCAATAATCACATCATCATGGCATTTTATGGTAATCAATTAAAATTATGGCATACTTTAAAAATTCAATACAACAAGAATATTATTATCTCGAATAAATCATATACAAGAATTATCCACAAGCAAGTTCACATGTAATTTTACACACCATGTCATGCCATTAATTAAACATCAACACAACTCTTATATAACAAAAATCAAATAGCCCTTTGACCCAAAATTAAGACAATTCATGCTTTAACACTTAAAGACATTCATAAAAATAAATAAATAAAAACATAATTTCATATAAATAAATAAATAAAATCACAAAAGGAATTAGAAATTTCTCAAATAAAAGGCAAAACTTAACACATTAGGGAGACCCCTACCTCAATCAGAGAGCAAAGACACAAGAAGCCCCAATTTAAGCCCAAAACCCTAGAATTTCGAAATCCAAGGATGCACCAAATTGAAATCAGCTCCAATCAAAATGAAGGCCTCAACAAGCTTATCAAATTCGCCTTTAGTGGCAAAACCTAATTCACAATGGTGGAGGAGAAATCTTGGCTTAAAGTTGTGAAATGAAAAAAAAAAAATGAGTTACAGAGGAGGAGAGGAGATAGCAGCGTGGAGAGAGAAGGAACTATGGCCTGTAATGGCTATAAAGCCATTATACGGCTTTATGACATGGCGGGTCCCACAAAAAAATAAATATCCCACCTTTACAACATTATTATATATATATACACTTATATACAAATTAAACTACAATCACCATAAAACTATGCACAAAATTAATAATGCATAAAATGTAATGGACCCAAAATAAAATCTTCGTACTCAACGACTCCAACAACGGGTCCCACGTGGGACCTCTCAGTCCGAAAGACAGAAAAATGTCTAAATGGCAAACGATGCATTTCTAAAGGTCCTAAACTCAAAGAAATGCCCCAACCAACTCTCAAACACACCCGGCACACTCCACGGTGTCCGGCACACAAAACGAGACAAGGACAAAAATATTCCAGAAAATCATAAAATCGCCGAAAATGAAAACATTACATGATTGATCATTGCTACAGAAGACCTATGCAAATTAATAGAAAAAACCATTAACTTTTGTTTTGTTAAAGCCTGCTCTTGATTTCCATGTGTTTGTACATTCTGATGGCAAGTGCTTTGACAGTATTATTAACTGAAATTCTAGCTGAGCCAACTTCAAATAACATCAATGATGGTGGTATGTATCTTTATATAAAAAAAAAAAAAAAAAAAACCCTTAATTTGGCACTTTTAAGTATGAGCATAATTTAGAGATTGAAAAACGGTTCAACCCACTAGAAGGGATCCTTAATTTTCGTAGGATTGAATGTGAAAATGCAAAAACTTATGAGGAAAAGGGGTATGGTTGCTACTGTTGTGAGATTGGAGTGAAATTAGGGAGAGGGAAAAAAAAAAGTGCCTACCATATATTATGGACTCGATCGCCATGAAAGACACATGTAGAAAGGCACACATTTATTAAAATACTAAGAGAACCATAATATATTCATTGCTTTTGATAGCCATGACACACAGTGACACACACACACACACACACAAAACCCTAGTTTGGAAGCTACTTTTCACTATTGGAACAAAGGTAAAGGCCCGAATCAAACAAACCAAAGTTAGAAAAAATCAAATGATGAGATGAAAGAAAGAAAGAAACATCTATAAAAGATCGATTCATGCAAAAGGAGAGAGGAGAGAGAAGAGAGAAAGAGGATGAACATACCTTGTCACCTGAGGCGATAGCGGAGGCTGGGCCCTGCGGAGTGTCGAAGCAGATTGTGACATTGTGTCGTCTGAAACTTGCCCTAACTTTATTTTTTTTCCATCCCCTATAGGCCTTAAAATTTGAGGCCCAAGGCGACCAATTTTTTCCATCCTCTATGGGCCTCATGAGGCCCTCTAAAATTTGAGGCCCAAGACGACCGCCTTGGTCGCCTTGGGCCTTGGTCCAGGTGCTATCTCATGTGAACAAGAGCATTAGTCCAAAAATAGTTCACTAGGGATTGATCCAGTAACCATGCAAAGTTGTTGCTGCTTGATTCAAGCTTTAGTTCAAATTCTAGAAATAGTTCATAATCTGCACAAGCTTTCCGAGGAAGCTGTAGATTCTCTTTGTTTGGAGAGCTCAAAACTCAAACTAAGTTATTATTAGATATCAGAGGGGTTCAAAAGTGGCAGTTTGTTAGTGAAGCCTTGGAAAGACCACATACCAATAGAAAAGTTGAAATCCACCAATCTCACAGTAGAAGTCATATTTTATAGAATTAAAGCCACTATAACCATCATCATCATCATCAACATCATCATTGTCCTGATCATCAGCGTTGTCAGCATCTTCTTCATCATCATTCTCTGTATCAATACCATCTTTATTTTCTGGATCAGGCTTTCTCAATTTATGAAGCTCGTCCACAGGAAACCTGCAAAATGATAGTATTACATGAATTTTCCCCTTCAACCACTGAACCACACATTTCATGCAAATGATACTACCTTTCATCATTCTCAATCAATTTTGGCAAAACATTGATATCCTTCAAAAAGAGCTCCTGGCTGAAATATTAGCTAATGTTGGTAAGAGAGCTGAGACAAATATTTTACAAATAACAAAGCAACCATTACATATTGCTATTCCAAATCTGCAATATATGTATTAAATATAAAACATCACAATGCAAACTCAAATCTACAGCAACTTAATCCAAGTACAACACAGAAATGCAATCCCACAGCAATTTCGTTTTAAAAATACAAAATAAAAGAGAGGTGTAGGGTTCAGGTCGAGGCTGGGACGTATGTGTGTTGTAGTTTTCGAGGTCTTTTGAGAACTGCAGATAGAGGAGTGATATTTATTGTTAAAAATGACGAAAATTAAAGGATAATATATATATATATATATATATATATATATATATATATATATTAAGAGAGAAGTTTCTAGAGTCTTCCGGAATTGTCTGAAGTTGTGTGAAAGATTCTCGATATGTGTAGAAAGGTGTAGAATATTGTAGAAGTGTGTGGAAGGTTATAGAGTTCTCCAAAGTTGTGTGGAGTATTATGGAGAGTTCTAGAATGTTGTAGATACTTGTAGATATATATAGAAGTGTGAAGAAAGTGGGAGAAGATTCTAGAGAATCGATCTCCACCGTTGGTGAGATTGCATCTTAGCCGTCCGTTAGTGATGGGGATGCCTATAAATAGAGGTGCATGGTGATGAAGGAAGTAGAGAAGAGAAGAGGAATATGAGAGAATAGAAGAAAGGGAAAGAATGGGTGCACTGAGGCACCGGAAAGGTAGAGTGATGTAGTCTCGTAGAAATATGTGAGTGTGTGGGTAGAGAGGATGACGTGTGGTGAACACCGATAACGAGCGAAGGGCTCGATCGTAGTGTGAGTACGATGATCGTGGTGTGAGCATGATCCGGTGTTCGACATCTCTCTTGATGTTATTACTAATGAGATAGTGTGTGTGTGATCTACCGTTGTAATATCTCTTCTATAATGATGAATAATGGAATCTTTTCTCTCCATGGACGTAGGCCAGGTGCGGCCAAACCACATTAAATATTGTGTTTGTCCATCTTATTTTCTCTTTGTTGTAATTGTATACTTGTGTGTGATCTTAGGCGGATTAATTCTTAACTAATTGTATCGTTGGGTATACAAAAAGGGATTAATTCATAACATTTATTTTCATTGTTCTCTGGGAAGATTTATACATTGTTCCATTTGTTTCTGGGAAGATTTAATTAGTCAAGATTCTGTTAGCAACTTCCATATTATCTAAATTCCCGGAAGAAAAACAAAAAAAATGGGAAGCCATACTGGTGGCCAAGTGGACGAATGGTAAACTCGGACATTCTGGATTCAATTCTCACAAAGTGCAAAAAACACTCAGCCTTAAATGATATAGGTTGATTATCCGTTACAAAAAAATAATAATAATAATAAAATAAAATAAGTGCTGGTATTTCCTACCACAGCCCCAGGTAATGGTTCATTTTCAAGTGCATTCTACAGATTCCAAACACAAACGGTTGAGCCAACTTTCAAAATTACAACCAGTTTCAAAAGGATCCAGCTAACCAAACCAAGACTAAAACTAAAATATGCGAAAAAGGAGCAGGACACAGAGTGAGTGCTATATAATAGGTGAACATAAGTAGAAACAACTTCACTAGTTCAACTTCAAGCGAAAATCCACCTTTGAACAAAACCCCATGCAAATAAAAACAAAAAATTACTCCGTATTATTTAACTAAGCAAAGTAGGAAAAATCCAACATTCAAGCACTAAATAGGAACCAGACTTAAAATGTGAGAAAAAACACAAAAGGAGTACAAGTTGTTGTTCGGTGTACTGTACAACAACAAAGACAAAACTGCTCAAATAATCATTAAAAACAACAACAGAGCATAAAATCCAAAACCAAATCATGTAATTCTGAACTATTTTATATACTCCGTATTAACCAAAAGAAAAAGAAATGGAAATCCATACCACCATAAGAAGCCAAGCACCACATAGCACACCATCTTCCTCTCCACGGTAACAATATCTGAACTGAAAATACCCAGCTCCATTGCCCCAAATTTTTTCAGATTTAGAGAGATAAACAAAAGACTCCGAACAAGCAAAGATCTTAATCTAACAAAGGAGAGGATCAGGGTGGATTTAGTGTCCGAACGAGTGTGAAAATAAATTAGTAATAAAAATTAATTAGGGTTTTTGATTGAACAGCTTTTAGGTTTTTGTTGGTAATGAATTGCAATTTTGACTTGACGCATTGGATCCTCATCCTTGTGTTAGATTAAACCACGCGATCAAGAAGAGCGTGTGAGTACACATTACATGGAACTCCGATGGGGGAGAAAAGTCAAAAGTCCGACTTTTATTGGGTGTGGTCAGTGTGCAATTAAATAGAGGATACAATAAATAAATACTCATGTAATCATATAGTCCTACAAATAAATTGCAAGAAAACCTTAACTAAGAAATTTGTTTAGAAATAAGGAATTATGATCACATATGAGTTGGCTGAATAATAAGGATATAAATTATAAGTTTTTTGACCTTTTTATTTTTTTATTTTTTTCAAATTATTAGGAGGGGCCTCAAATATGGACACATTAAAAAAGTTAATATTCTATCAATTAGGTTATTAAGTAATGCTCAAACATGCATATTTATTTTTTCTTTTTCTCAACCCAAGCCATTCTAACTGTCTAGTGATTGTTGTTGCTAATATATATATATATATATATATATATATATATATATATATATATATATATATAATTAATGATTTTTTTTATAGAAAATTAGCTGTATATATATAAGTTATAACGATATAATAAGAATTTAAAAAAATCACGTGAATTGCACATGCTTATTTTGGATGTGGCACCATCAGATGTGACGAAATATTACTCACCCGAAAATTAAAAAATAATAATAATAAGTGATGAAATATAATGCATAAACGAATTTGATTAATTCGTGCTTAAAAAAATAATAATAATAAAATAAAAATTTCTATTCCCACCACAAAGCAAAGACGAAAATTAATTTGAGCAAATCCAACCCAAGCTATCAGGTAGTTCTAAACTTCCTAATGCGATAAAGAGAAGAGAAATGGTTACGTTGTTGTATTAAGTACACACACTTATTTTCACTTATCAAATTAACCACATCAAATCAAAACATACTCCAAAGAGAAAAAGAGAAATAATAAATATATTTTTTACAATATTACTAGTAATTAATTAAGAAGAGCAGAGTGAAGAGTCATTTAGTGAACAAAGTCCTTACTAGCTAGAGAAGGGATATATGAGTTTTAGAAAATGAGATATCACAAAAAAATAATAATAATAATAAAAATAATAAAAATAATAAAATAATAAAATTGTAATGGTAGGTGTAAAATTTCTCTCTATAAAAAAAATTAAAATAAATAATACAACTCACTCAAAATAATAATAATAAGCAATAAGAATACTCAGAGAAAAACGTTTATTGCTCGATGATCTTTATTGGAGATCTATGCCTCTATTTATATACAAAAAGATAGTAGAATTATGATAAGACTCGCCTTACTTGTCCTCCAATACATTCCATATACAATTCTTTACTTATAAAGTTACTTTCTTTTATAATTATTTCCATGTCAGACTTTTCCTTTTACAGAACTTTCCTTTTATATAGGATCCTTCGTTTAGTTGGACTCATTTAATCCTTCATATGTTTGGGCCGAATACTTCTTGGGCTGGCTGATTTTGCTCGACGGGCTGAAAGTTTACCATTAGCGATCTTGGGCTTAACAAAGACTTAATCTAGGCTTGAGAAGGGCTGGGCTTCTGCAATCCATCCAAAGATCCAAACTATAATTTTTTAGTGCAGTGACATGGACGACTCTTACTGAAGGGGGATTTTTTCCTCCACACTTTGTCCCCAATTCCCTCTTTAATTGGACTATGGCTCTTAATAAAAAAGAAATTGAAGTTGCACGGTTGCCTTTTTTGCAAAAGGCAGTTCAAGGAGTGTCCGTTGCCATTCTGTCTTAAGAGCTTCTTCAAGACTTACTTTTGCCTTCGCTGTGCTTATTGCGTTCTTTGCTTCGTCATGAAACCAGGTTAGTTCTTCACATATTTCTTTGATTTCATATTATGAGCACCTCACCCACTCACGACCACATAGAAATTGTAGACTCCGAGTCCACACCTTCGTCTTCCCCTATTCTCATTAGGGTTCCTCCCCCTAGGGCTTCTGACCCCTTTGAATTTACAAACGGTTCAGTTAGTCAAATGGACGATTCCCTACCTCAAGCTGAAGTATCTACTTCCGGGTTAAATAGCATTTTCACCAAAGAAAAGAAATAATGATTTTGTCTGTACGGCATCTCAAATTCTCCATTGAGTCTGTAATGGAGGAATTTGAAATCCCTGAAGGGGTAAAAATTGTTACATACCCAAAACAGGATGACTTCAGTTCAGGCGAGGGCGTCGAGGAGAATGAATTGTTTTTATCGGTTGGACACCTTAATGCTCTTCGATTTTCTCTTCACCCCTTCTATCACTTGGTCTTCAATAAGTTGGGTCTTACCCCTCTTCAAATAAACCCTAACTTTCTTCGAATAGTCTCGGCTCTTCTTATTTGCCGAAGGCTAGAGAGTCTTGATTTGACTCTTGCAAACCTATTAATTACCTACACCATTTCCAGGCATGGAACCGAGCCTGGCTGTTTTTATTTCACTTCCTCTCTTTAACATAGGATATGTACGGACCTTCCTACCTCTGAGAAGATATGGAAAGAGAGGATGATATTTGTTAAAGGGAATTGGGCTGTGTCTCAATCAAGCAAACTCCCAATCCCACGCAAATTTGGGAAGTTAGGTATAGAATGATTTCCCTCCCTTCATGACAACTGCTCTGATTGCTTCCCATATCAAGTTTTACTTTTTCGTCACACTTATGAATTTCTTGGTGTTTTTTCAGCAACCTTCCCCACCTCTGTAACTAAGAACAGGCTCACATTTCTCGAAGAACAGGTTTGAAGTGATCCTTCATCTATCGAGGATTTGCTTTCTTCGTCAAACCTTAAGGAAATTGCCTCCAGTACTGTAGTGGCTGACCTCATGGATTTGGCATTTCCTTCCTTCGGCAGCTTCCCTCTGACTGACGAAGAGAAGACAAGAGTTGAAGCTCTTAAAAAGAAGGCAGCAGACGATCAGCCCCTTGCCGTTATCCGTTCCACTGAACATGAGAAGGAGGTTGATGAACCTCCTCTGAAGAATACAAAACAAAACCCTCTTTCAACTAGCAATGGCAAAAATGTCTCCAAGAGCAAAGGGAAGAGGGCTAATGAAGCTGACCTTGAGGAAGAAGTTACGGCTTACGTCCTAGCAGAAACTGGAGAACCTTGGAGACCCATCTTCTTAAGAGCTGATAAATCAGTTCTTCATTCTGGGGACTCGGTAGTCACTGATTCCTTTACTGTTTTGGCAGTAGCCGGGGGGATGTGGTAACCCAAAGATGAAGAAATCATTGGAAACATGGGGCTAGACCAACTGTTTCCTTCTGCCCCCGTTCGCGCTACGGAAGTTTATACTTTCCTTCAACTTTGATATTCAATTAACTTTCTTTTCACATTATTTACACTATTGTTGATTGTGTAAAATATGTATCATACCATGGCCTGTGCGCCACTGCTGAAGCTCAATCAATCTATGTCCAAAAACTGGAAAATGAGCTGGAGATTGCTGGGAAGAAGCTCTCTCATGCGCTCTTGGATGTCAAGATGGCTTATGATGCCAGGGACATATATAAAAGCCAACTTGCATCTGCTGAGGTTAAGGTGAAAGAGATGGAGGCGGAAAACCTACGGTAGAGGGATACAGTCAATACTTACACAACTGCTAGAAAGCAGATGCAGGAACGCTGCTCCCCTTGGTACGCTTGTAAAGTGCAAAGGCCTTCCGGTTCGGCTTTAATCAGGGCTCAGGTGATAAACAGAACGACCTTGAGGCTTTTGATGCTGATATAGGGGTATCCTTCCCTTATGATGAGGGTCCGAAGGCTCAAGAAGCTAAAGTGTTGTTCGCTGAGATGGTGAAGTCTCATCAAGGAGATCCTCCTTCAGCACTAAGCTCTTCAATTCCACCAGCTCCAAGCCCGAACGTAATGGATGCTTTTAACTCTACTCCTTTCGACCCAAAAAGGAAGTGAACTTATGTACTTGCTTCGGCCTGATGTATTTATTTTGCTTGTGCGAACAATGTTTGTAATATCTTTGTTTAGAAAATCTGCATATTTTCTAATATTTCAGAATTGTATATTTGTGCTGAACAGCTTTCATGTATTTGATAGTAAGAAGGGAACTCCTATGACAGTTCAGGTATTAGCTAGAGATGGTTGTACCATTTAGCGATTTAGCCATCAAGAGAACCCTTCTTGCCCTTAACTTTGCATGAAACAAGTATATCAACACTTGTTTTTCCTTTATTTCGATGTGGGACAAATTACTTAATAATTGTCTTGATCAAATTCATTGATTTGAGAATAAAATGTCAAGGAATATATCAACATCTGTCTAGGTTTTGGCTTGCTCATCTGGGTTTTGGCCCAATCTACTTGTATTTAAACTCCTAGTGTCGGAAGTGTGTAGTTCCTCGACTATGAGCCTAAGAGGAATTTTATTGATACCTTCGGGCTCGTGGGTCCGAGGCAGGTAATTCCTCAGCTTTGAGCCTAAGAGGAATTGTATTGTACCAGACACTTAGGGTTCAAAGCAGGTAATTTCTAGGCTATGAGCCTGGGAGGAATTTTGTTGATACCTTCGGACTCATGGGTCCGAGGCAGGTAATTCCTCAGCTATGAGCCTGAAAGGAATTGTATTGTACCGGAAACTTAGTCCGAAATAGGTAATTCTTCGGCTATGAGCCTGAGAGAAATTGTATTGTACCGAAATCTTAGTCCAAAATAGGTAATTCCTCAGCTATGAGCCTGGGAGGAATTTTGTTGATACCTTCGGACTCGTGGGTCTGAGGTAGGTAATTCCTCAGTTTTGAGCCTAAAAGGAATTATATTGTATCGGACACTTAGTCTGAAGCAGGTAATTCCTCGGTTATGAGCCTGAGAGGAATTGTATTGTACCCGGCTCTTAGTCCGAAGCAGGTAATTCCTCGGCTATGAGCCTGGGAGGAATTTTGTTGATACCTTCGAACTCATGGGTTCGAGGGAGGTAATTCCTCGGCTATGAGCTTAAAAGGAATTGTATTGTATTGGACACTTAGTCCGAAACATGTAATTCCTCGGCTATGAGCCTGGGAGGTATTTTGTTAATACCTTCGGACTCGTGGGTCCGAGGCAGGTAATTCCTCGGCAATAAGCCTGGGAGGAATTTTGTTGTACCGG